TTAGAGATTTAATTATACTAGTGCCCTAAAGTGCTATATCAGGAAAATAAAACATAGACTGATAATTTACCACCTGTGTGTGTGTGTGTGTGTGTACACATGTGTGTTTTCTTCATCCTACAGTTAGTGTTTTTCAAGCCATAAGGGCCAAAGTGAGCATTCTGGCACTTCTAATCACATCCTAATACGGAAAATTCTATCTATACTTCAGTTTGGGATTTGCCCAATCAAAATATAGGTGAAGGAAAAATAGAAAGAACTTTGTTTTAATTGTGGTCTTTTCTCTTGCGACTGCTAGAACTGAGGTCCTAGATCCAATTCTTCAGTGTTCTCTTCAGCCATCTCTGATTCTGCAGCCCTGTGAAGCCCATCTAGAAGAAGCAGCAGCTGTCTTCTATATTTCTCCTTCCTCTACTATATACCTAAGTCATAGTTGCTCAAAGAATGCTTATTGAATTGAATATGATCACTATAAAGACAGTCAATTGAAAGTAGAGCTAAAATGGTGTAAATGCAACACATTTTAAAATACAATAATTCAAAATTTGTGCTCCAGTGAATGAAGGTACTCCCAAATCTGTTAAGTTTTTGAAATGGCCCAAGAGGTACTTTTCAAACCTTAAAGAATCCTTCTCTGGTGTTGGGGCCCAAGCAGCCGCATTTTCAAGTTCCCCAGGTGTCTCTATTATCAGCAAAGTTTAGAAACTCCAGTTTAATGTGTCTTTTGTTACATGTCTTTTTTTTTTTCCAGAACAAACACATTGTCAGATCTAATTTATAGTGAAAATGAGTTTCACTATTGTCTATTAGTTATATCTGAAAGATTAGAGCCAACAGTTTATGTTCAGCTGATGGAAGTATATACAGATGCCTATGAGGAATAATACTTTCCATGAAGGATGAGACTATTGGTGAGTCATGAAATGGGCATTTCACACATCAAAGCTATAGGTCCCTTGGTATGCAAATCTGGAGCCCAAATCTGGAGAGCAGATTTGAGTATTAACTGAGAGTCTAGTAGTCTTTGGATAGGAGAAATTCACTCTTTTAAGACTTGAGTAACTTTCGGTGGTGTCCTCCTGTTTTGCCCTAACCGGATTACCCTTCATTCTAGGGTTAATTGTAATTAATATAAGCCATCACCAAATATTCAGTTGAGCCTAGCTAAATAAAGTTATAGAGTAGCAATATAAACGAAGTTATCACAGAGATGCAAAATGTAGAACATTGTTCAACATAAACTGATCCTTCTAAAATGGCAATATCATATGTGAAAAAAGATTAAAGTGGAATGCAGTGTATCAACAGTATTGGTCATAGTTTGAGAAAAAATAAAAAGGCTAAAGAGCACATACTGGAACCAATTGAAAAAGTTTACACATGGACTGTATAGTAGGTGAATATTGGTGAATTGTTATTAACTGTCATAACCTTCGTAAGAGACACATGTCAGAACAAGTAGCTTATGGTGTACGCAAACCGAGTCCTACCAACTTAATGCCAGTTGTTAAATTTTCAAGAATTTTGTGATCCCATAACTTTCGGTTACTTGAAATCTGTTGAACTTGGATACTTGAAATAAGCATGATGATTTATACCATAAAACTTTTTGCAAATGCTACAAATAGGGCTTTTTTTCCTTCCCCTGGAGAGCTAATTTGCCTGCATACACTGCGTCAGCTTACTTTCAAATGGTTCAGAAAACACATACAATATTAATAACTGTTGAATCTAGGTAAAGGATATGTGGTGATTCATTATATTAGTCCAGGAGTCAGCAGACTTTTTTTTTTCTGTACAGGTCAAAGGGTAAATATTTTAGGTTTTGCAATTCATAAAATCTCTGTACTAGCTGCTTGCTCTACAGCACTGCCATTGGAAAACAAAGACGGCCACAGACAATACTGAAATGAATGGGCATGGTTATATTACAGCAGAACTTTATAAATGCTGAGTGGGGAGGGTGGTTTTGCAGATCTGGCTTGGGGCCATAAAGTGCCCACTCTTGTACTAGACTTTCAGCTTTTCTAATATTTAAAAATATTTCATTATAAAGATATTCTTTTAGTACAGTTCAAATGTCTTGGTCTGGTTTTCAGAGCCCCCCCTGGATGCCCCAACACCTATTCCTGAAAGCTGTGGCTCACCCATCTGTTTTTAGTCTTGGGACTTTGCACTCTGCTGCTCTCCTCTGTGCTTTTGCTCAAGCAACAATTCTCTTGCTAACTCAACCCCATAACTACTTTTTGGCATTCTCAAGACATGCCTCAAACACTCTATAAAGCCTTCCTAGAATACTTCTAATTAAAGTTGACTTCTCACTTCTCTGATCATCTGTAGTCCTACATCTGTACGTTGGTTTTGCTGCTTTTTACTATATACCTCTAATTAGTTTCCAACCTGTAAAGCAGAAAAAGATTGTTATACCCTTTACATATCATATTAATATTTGTTGAAGTGAACTGCAATTAATATTTGTAAATTGAAACCCAGTTGCACAGATATCCCAGTGCCAGCAAGTACCAATCTAGAAGTCTAAAATGAAAGTGTTAGACATTAAAGACAACAATAATCATGGGCAAGCAGCTTCGTTCTTTCTAATTTTTTAGCTTTTAAGCCTGGTCTAATCCAAATCCAGCCACATTTGGGCTGTTGTCTATTAAGCTGAAGTAGATGTAACTGTGCTTGCTTCAATAGCACATGTACTGAAACTGGAACCATGCAGAGAAAATTAGCATGGCTCCTGTGCAAGGTTGAGTTGCAAATTTACGATATGTTTCATATTTTTTAAAATGTTAATAAATGGACTTGATCTTGGTAGGCTTGGTAGATTCCTTAACAATGGCTAAAGGCTCAAAGAGAAAAAATTTAAGTTATTCTAAACATCTGTCGTGTTTTAGACACCATACAGCTTTCTGTGCTGTCTCAAGGAGTCGCCCAAACAATCCTACAAGGGGATGATGATATTCCCACTTAGAACTAAGAGAGTTAAATTGCTTCCCTGAGATTATAAAGCTAGAACAGGGTTAGAATCTGGCTGCCTGAGACTCAGCACCATTTTAGGCCTTCATACATTCAGTGCCTGGCAGGAGGCCAGGGAACCCTAGACTGAAATAGTCCCCAAAGTTCATTTTGCTGTGTGGAGATATTGGGAGTGCTGATATTTGTTGGAATATAGTTTTAAGTGTCACTGGACTGAAAACCAGGCTTCTGATTTCAGCTTTACCATCTACCCATCTGTGATCTTGGGTGAGCAGCTGAGCTTCTCTGGACTTAGTTCCCTCATCCATAAAATTAGATGAACAGGTTCTTTCTTTTATCCCTTTATGTTTCATGCATTATGCAGCAATTCAAAGTCTAATGGAGAGGTAGACAAGTGAAAGGAGAATTGAAATACAACACCGTGTAATAGTAGTGTGCTCCAGATATGCTTGGGCTACTTCAGAAGCCCTGCAGAGTGTTCTAGCCACGTCGCACTATCATCCTAGCTAAGTACATTCCACCCAAATGAACTTTGGGGAGCTCAGTGGGAGTAGGGGATAGAGACCATCTCAAAGCAGACTGCAAGTAGTTTCCCTAAATACATGATGGGGGAAAAGAGGGAAAAAGCAGACTGGGCAAAAAGTAGATCAAGAAGGGACTTGTATGCCTCATGAAAGAGATTGGATTTTTTTTTTCTTAAGGCTGTTGGAAAGCAGTGATGGGTTTTAAGCAAGGTCTTATTTGCATTTTATAAAGACCTCCTTGGTAGCGTGACGGATGGAGTCCAGGGGCACAAAACTGGTGGTGGGAGGACTCTCCAGGAGGTGATTGCAAAAATAAGCCAGGCGAGGGATGAATAGCCTAAACTAATGTAGTGGCAACAGGATGAAAAACAGGACAAATTTGAGAGCTCTGAAAGAGAAAGAATGTCTACGACTTAGTGACTGTACCAGTCAAAATTGCTACAGCCATACAATCTCTTGTGACTCCAAACTGTATCAAAGCTGCGTTTATGCCCACACACATCCCATGCAGTTTGGAGAGGGACTGTGCTGCTCATTGCGTCACTCAGACTCAGACCAAGGAGCTTCTGTAATGTGGCCAGTTGATGGCATCCTTCTAGCTGCACTCTCTTGTGCAGCTTAGGACCACCCCTCAGAAGTGACATGCATCATTCACAGCTCATGGACTAGGACTTGCCACTTGGACCCCTCCATCTCTGGGGATCAGAAAGTTCACTCATGGGCAAGCAATACAAGTACTGTCTCGTGCCTGACTGGCTTGAAGGAAGACTCCCAGGTTTCTTAAGAGGAAATTAGGCAGACATTTGAATCCTCTACTGAGGAAGAGAAGATGAAATCAGGCAGCAGAAAGTGGATGGACCAAATCATTCAAAATCTTTTCAGTTCTGAAGTGTAACTATCTTATGGATTCTTTCCTGTCATCAAAGAGAGGGATTGGAAATCAACCTCACTTGTCAGTGAGAACTTACTTTATTCTTTACAAAGAGCATTCTAGTTCATTCTTTCCAATCAATGGAAGACTTTTAGTTTTAAAAGGTGGCTTTCAGATCTAATACTCTGCATCTTTCTTGAATTTCCATGTGGACTGTTATGTCAACATAGAGTGTAAAAATATATAGTTATTAACCATGATGTTAATGAAGCCGTCCTCAAATAGGAATACCAGGCTGTTGAATTCAAAATGCCAGAGATGTAAATGTCCTCTGCCTTCATTACCGCCATTCCCCAGCAGGCACTTTTCAAGACACCAAGGGGTGGGAGCCAGGAGAAGGTGTAATTAGGCTGATTGGAGCCTATTGTGCTCCTTTGGCGTGCAGACACTGAGGTGCTTTAGGGAATGTGAGTGTCTCAACACCAGTGGGGAATGATGTCCTCTTTACCTCAAAAGAATGTCGCAAAAACAGTGAATCTATACTCTTCTTCTTTGTTTCCCACATTCTCTCCCCAGTTTAATTGTGGTACCTTAAAAACTGACTTTCATTTGTTTCTTAACAGTTGCGAGAAACAATCAAAGCTGGCAAAGGTGTGACTTCAGCTATTGACCTGTGTCGTTACCATGGAAACAAGGCACTGGAAGCCCTGGAGAGCTTTCCTCCCTCGGAGGCCAGATCTGCTTTAGAAAACATTGTGTTTGCTGTGACCAGATTTTCGTGACACCAAATTAAAAGAGACACTATTGTTAGCTGAAAAAACCGGGGAATAAGGCCATCAGGAGAGACTTCATGATGAGCTATCTAAATATGTTAATGACTTTAGAAATACACATTTTCCCCCTGCCTTTTATCACATTGCTAAATGAATACTGCTTTCTTGTTGGAACTGCTGCAAACAAAATTAGAAGGAAAAAGGTCAAGCAGTTTTCACTTGTCACGCCAGAAGCACACTTGAAGCTGCAGTAGCAGAAATAATTAATGAGATTCACTCCTGTGACCTCAGCAAATGGACAGGAAATAAGTCCTTATTGATTGGACCGAGCCAGGGATGGCGCCAGGGCGGTGGCCTGTGGTTTTCCTTCTGGAGAGGACAGAGCGAGCTGGAAGCTGCAGGTGTCAAGAGAAACACTATCTATGCCAGCCAGGAGGACTGTCAAATCAGAAACTGGCGACCAGTTTGTCATCGCAGAGAGTAGTTCAATGATTAAGAAAAGAAAATGCTTTGTCTTTTTGCATTTGCCTCTGTACGCCTAGATACAGTATGATTACACTTTGCACCTCATAATTTTTGAGAGATTGGGAGGGGGGTAAAAATTGCTGGGGGTAAAAAATGCCAATATTCGAAGTAGGAGATTAAAATGTTATCAAATGTTAACTTGGTTGTAGTAGGAATTGCCTGTTTTTCCTTCTTAATGACCAAATCTTTTTCAGACACACTTAACAGAATCGGTTTTTTATTTTTTAAGCTGAGCAGGATACTTTTTGCAAGTAAAATGTCTTCATTTGTAATACTGTGGAATAGAGAATACCTTTAACTTTTATAAGTTTCAGATATATAATTGTTGTACATTGGTGATTTTTTTAACTTCAGAATGTCAAAATTTGGTCTTGAACCACAGACATCCAATTACAGAAAGAATATAAGCCTGCAATCGGACACTGTTACTGAGTGGTTCAGAAGAGATGATTTTTGTGGTTTACATGCATGCAATGTGAGAACCCCGTTGACAAGAAGGCTGAGTTTACATAAATGATCTAGATTGAGACTCAGCTACCTTTCTTCCTTATGTGGTGTAATTACAACCCTATCTGAAGACGGCGAACACAGCAAACAGATTTTATTACTTCATTCACTCCAACACTAAAGTTATTTTAGTTAAATTTTCCCTCCCCAAAAGTTACAAAACTCTTTTTACCAGTGCCCAGTATGAGGTATGTAATTAAGAACAAATAGAAAGCTACAGAGGTTAATGTATTATGAAGTATTTTTTTAAATACTCCAAAGAGTAATTGTGCAGTTTATGATACAGCAATGTGAAGGCCTAGACTTATCTTAAGAGAACACTCCACTCTTCTGTTTGAAGTGTCTTTTCTCACAGAAATTGGCTTAATTAGTAACTATAGTTAGAGGCTTTAGATCAGAGTGGGTTTTAATCATTAACTTCCTCCAAGGAGGAGTCATGTTTGTGTTCTCTGGATATGCAGGAACTTGGAGGTGTAGGTTTTATTAAGCAGATGGTTGAGTCTGCAGGGCAGAGAGCAGGATCCTAGGCCTTTTCTAATTCTGGCTTGCTGGCTGCTTTGCTGTGTGACTGTAAGCAGATCACTTTCCCCCTCTGAGTCTCAATTTCCTCATATGTAAAATATGGTTAAACAAGAAGAGTGTATGACATTCCTTCCTGATTTAATTTTCTAAAAGGTGATCATTTCTGACTGTCCAGATAGCAGAGATGTCATGTGAGATTCAGGGAGATAGAAGGCTCTGAAGAAACTTCACAGGTGACCTACCGTGTTCCCAGACAGCTCTCCATTGGTTAACATGTAATCCTGCTCGTCTGTTTCAACATCCACCTTGCTGTTTTCTTTAGGGCCTTTCCTAGTTATCTTTCATCTTCCCAGCTCCCTTAATTTATCATATCGCCCTTTCCCCATGCCCTACGCCTGCTGCCGGCTTTCTGGGCTCAGCAGCCCATGCTACTACTGTTGCGTGTTCCTGGCCTCTCTCCTCTAGGCAGGTCTCCTCCCCTAGTAGAGTTTTCATTTCCTCAGCAGTGTGGCAAGCTTTTGTTAAAACCCACCTGTTGGCCAGTTCATTCCAAAGTTTTAAATGTTACTTGCCTTCTTCCATGCTCCTTCAGAGATGCTTATTGGTCAACAACCCCCTAGGGAGAATTTGGGGCCATGAAGGCATCCTCAATCATACCTTTCAACCTACCGTCTGGGTACACCCAAATAAAGTCTTGACAAGGGAGAGTTTAATCTTAGTCTTAGATGGCATCCTTTCCCCTTCTTTGTGTCCCCCTTCTTACTATAGGGAAAAATTCAACCACTAACCGTTGTCCTGCTTCCCTCTACTTGGTCTAGTCTTGCAAGTTTGCTCTTCCAAACCTCACTCACTTTAAGGTCCCTGAACCCACCTTCATTCTCTTCCCTATCAGTTTTTTCTTTGTCGAGTATAAAAGCTTATTACATGTACACCATTCAACAGAGAGGACCACCTGTGACTGACTGGTTTCCCTTCCTGTTAGAGGACAAACAGAATGAGGGGCACTCCAAGAACCCCAAATCTGCCTGTTCCAAATTGGTTCTGCCATCTGGCTTATAAAAACAGACTGTAATGTATAAGCCCCTCAATGGAAAATAATTAGTACAAGTACTATGCAATGAAGAGAAGAGAAAGAATAGTTAAAAGTTTCCTATGAATGGCCCTCCCTGGTGGCACAGCGGGTTAAAGCACAGCACTGAGAAGCTAAAGCCACATCCGCATGAGTTTGATTCCCGCCTGCCCCGGAGGTGACCACATGGCGCGGCAGACCTCTCCTGACCCGCCTGCTGCTCCCCTCAGCAGTGTACTTCGTCGATCTGCCTGTTCTGCTCCCTGCTTTGTCTCTGGTGAAGCCTCTCACCACCTCTGAGCCTCTGGCCTATACCCCAGTTCTGTATGTACAAATAAATAAATATTTAAAAAAAGAAGAAGAATTTTTAAAAGTTTCCTATGAAACACCTAAAGATACCCATCCAATAGTGTAAATGCCAAGTCCAAAACTACGCAACTGACACCCAAAAGTTTGCAACAAACCTGATGTACCTTCTGGTGGGAACATACAGAAAAGGGACAGAGAAGCCAGGCAAGCCTGGAAGGAACAGAGCAAAACCAAAATACAAGTCAAGACAAAACCTGCCATTGTCCATTTCCCTAGGGGTTGCTCACCCACATCTGTCTCTTTCAAGTGTCTCCTATGTCCTCCAAGTCCCTGAGGGTACTGGGGGCAGGTGGTGAAGACTTCTTCACATGTCTTTCTGCTCTATTTTTTGCCTCCTCCAAGTGTTCTTCCCAGGCTTTTTTTTTTTTTTTTTAAGATGAAATTATTTATGCATACAGAGCTGGAGTGTACTCTAGATGTGGGAGGGTACAGAGGGTGAGAGGATTCTCCAGAGGCAGAGTGGGGAACAAAACAGGCAGATTAACTAAAATACAATGTTGAGGAGAGCATCAGGCAAGACAGGAGAGGTCTGCCACGTCATGTGGGTCAACTCCCTGGCCAGGGATTGAACTTGTGCTGCTATGGCTGGTGATAACTTTACAGTGCTGAGATTTAACTCCTTGCCCCACCAGAGAGGCCTTCCCCCCCTCCCCCTCACCCCCAGTCTTTTCTAGCTTCACTTCCCTGCCCAGCTCCACCCTATCTTAGGGTGGGACAGGGAACCTGGAATCTTTCTTTCCCTGGGGATTATCCTATTACACTCAACCACCCCACTCCAGTGGGCTCGTGGCCACCTCCACCAGGAAGTCATGAGATAATAATCATTAATCTAACACATTTTGTCTTTCATCGCAGTTCCTGGTCAGTGTGGTGGGCCAAATTGTTTGGACAGGGCCCCTGAGCCCATGAGTTAGTTCACCTGTGCAAATAGGACAGGGCCAACTCATCCTACCGCCCATCAAGGTCTTTTACCAGGGCTGTCTCATTAGCGCCAGTGGCCCTGTGCTTTTCACCTCTCTGATTTCCCTTCCTATCTGATATGATTTGTTCTTACTCCTATCCCTAAAGACATTCTTTTCTAAATATTTAAATTACATTTCCCCAGAAACTACAAAGCAGTTTGCTGCCCCAAGTCTTTTAAATTCCCCAACTTAGACAAGCTCTTTTCTGGCATTAAAAAAAAAAAAATTAATTTGTACTAATTAGATAGTAACCTATTTGCCATTCAAATTTAGTTTGAAAGATAAAGATAACTGTCATCAACTCACTTAGTTGTTAGTTTTTACTTGATACTTCTAATCCACTTTTTTTCAATCTGCTGCTCATGCAGTGTGCTTATCCATTCATACCTAAACATCATCACTGACTTTGTCTGGTCTCCAGTATTTGAGACTTCGCCTTATCCTGGCAATGTTATTAATGTGGCCCGGGACGTAGATGACACTTCCAATATATATAGCACATTAGATCCAAGTAATCAGAAACTAACCTGAATATTCTGGGATCTTTTAAAACCTGACAAGTAGCTATAAAAGATCTCTTTGGGCAAGTGGATTTGGGTGAAATTGAGTTTAATCAAAAAAACTGCAGCTAAAGGAGGTTTTTGTTTTTGTTTTAAGACTAAGCTAATCAGCAAGCTAATCACTAATGAGGAAAAAACCTTGCTTTTCAGGAAACCCTTTTCAAGCATTCTTAACTTCAGGAAGATCCTTTCGTGCCTCTTCATTTATCTTTCTACTTTGAAGTCCAGTTGTTATATCTTCTTTCTGACCAGTGGAAGCTCCAGATTTATCTCTAGATTGTATAATGACTACCACTCAGTCTGCTGGTTTACCACACTATTGTTGAAGTACCTAAAAAGGAGACCTGGATTTGGTTATCTAATCCTTTTAACTATGAGAACACAATTGTCATTTTATTATTATTAATAGTTTCCATTATTGTTAATCATATTTAGTAAGTGATTTTGTATTCTCTTTTAAACAACACTGCCTGGTGGCACAGTGGGTTAAAGTGCAGCACCATGAAGTTATCTGCAGCCATAATAGCAATGAGTTCTACCTCCAGCCAGGAACAGACCTGGTGCAACAGACCTCTACTGACCCACCCACCACTCCCCTGAGCAGTGGATTTCAGTAGATCTGCTTGTTCTGCTCCCTACTCTGTCTCACCACACACAGTCTGAACTCCAGTCACTGCTCCAGTTCTTGTATGCATACTTCTGTAAAAAAAAAAAAAAAAAAAAGGCAATCTACAAGATTACCACTCCTTTCCTGGCTTTGGTTCTGATCCCTGCTCAAGTTAAGAAAGGCCCTGCCTTTCTTTCAAGGAGATAATATACTTCTAAAGGTGACTGAAAAAGAAATTCCACCGAAAAAGAATCCAGAAGTTTTTCTGAATATCAGCCACTATCCAGGCTGAGAGTGGAAGCCACCCCTCCCTTTAGCTCACCCCACCTGCTCCTAGAATTCTAAAGAGCTATTTTTTAGGACTCTCCTGGTAAAGGAATGTTCATCCTGGAGATACAGTCTAGCGCATAGAAGAAGGTCACTAGCCATCCTGAGACCTGTGTTTCCCTAGGCAATTTCATGTTGTGCAAACTTCACAGAAAGGGATTACACAGACCTGGATGTATGGCTAGTTCACACCTAGGCTGTGTGCGGCAGCCCTTGGGACGTCTCACGTGCGTGACAAAGACGTCACTAAGGGACATGGGGCTGTATACTTTCTCTTCCAGTGAAAGAGAAAGTTCTCAGGCTTTTCCTCTTTCTTTTTTGGAGATGCTGACTCCATCTTCACAAAGGAGCTATAACAGTTTTCGATTTGAATTTCTCCCTTC